ACACTCAATTATTTGCTAAAACAGTTTTATAAATTAAACATATTTTAATAAATCTTATCAAAATCTGAACTGAAAAAATTTATTAAATAAACAGTGCACATGCATTTTTGATATCTTTAAATAACTTTAAACATAACACTTATGGAAGTTAATGATTTTTAATGGATAAACAAAAATTTATCACAAATAAATCCCCTCTCCAAAAAAAAAAAACAAAAACTAGAATAATTTCAAATTAAATAGTACAAAAAGTATTAAAATTGTATTATCAATACAGTGTTTATAAATATATATATACATTTTAATACATATTTTAGAATAGTTCAGATGTGTTAAAAACAAATGTACAATTTAAAATAGCACATAAACTTATTTTAGTATATGCTCATTAATCATCTACTGTGGTATATAAATATCAACAACATTAAACTTATAATTTTTTTCATTTTTCCACAAGGTTTACCTGAAAATTATATAATTCATTTGGTGGCTATAAGACAATACTAATTTTTCTTTCATTTTCATCAAACTTAAAGTTCAAAAAATTATCTATATTTTTCATTGGTATTTTACGATGTTTTTAATTTTTTTCGCGTATGAACAAATTATGATCATTTATGCATTGTAATATATTACACAATCATAACTCGCTTAAAAATTAAAACACCGTAAAATCTCGATGACAAACACGCACGTAGTTCCTCAATTTAAAATTTGATAATATGGTTAAATTCGTTCTAACAAAACCTACATTTAATATGCATGTTAAACATATATGTGTGAATAATGATTAGTGGTTTTTAGTTATAAAATATCATTCTACTTAGAAAAATTACAGACTAATCAATAATGAAAGCGGTTATTTCGAGATTTTTATAGGACTTGTGTACAACAATAACCTATCAATAAAAATATACAAAAAAATAAATATAACTAAAAATTGTAACACCTATACAAAAAAAAAAAAAAAAAAAAGTAATAGAAATATAAACCAAGAACTAGATGGAAAGACTGTAGAAAAAAATAAAAACGGGTTGATGGAAATGCAACAACTGACGGAACTTTAGACTGAAAAAATGGAAAAATCTTACTATTGAGATCACAGGTCTTTAATAGACCATTGAGTAGTTTAAAAGAAAAAAAATAAGAATAAGAAGAACAACTATGAAAATATTAAATTATTCAATTGTTCTAACGATATATTATATTTTTAATTTTAATTATTTTCTACGCAGACTTTTAAATCTTTAAATTTTTAACAGTCAACCAACTCTCAACAGTCATTAGAATAAAAATAATGAAAAAAATATTAATAATGTTTAACCTACATCGTATCTTGGAATATTGTGCAATTAACTTTGTAGAGCTGCTCTCAATAATTGTAAATAACTTCACACTAACATAAAGCGTTTTGGTCCATTCCGCCAACTTATTAGGTCTCTATAAAATGTGTTTATAATTGATTTTCTCTACTATATATATACCATGTATAACGTATGTATTTTACATTAATATACACACGCAAAAACATGCATTTACAAACATATATCTAATTACAATGTTCAATGACAGCCTTCATCATTAGGATTGAATTAAATTTGCTACAAAATTGATAACATCTACGTATATGGAATAGTCAAAACTATTGACTATACAACTATATTATATACTGTATTATATAAAATAAATAAATAATATAATAAAATCACAAAATTATGTTGCATTTATCCATAAGGAAAAAAATGACATCTACTAAAAGTAAACAAACTAATAAAATTAAGTAGGGTACATAAAAGTGTCTATTTACTTACGATTTTCTTTCTGTTATACAATCTATGTATAAATAATAATCAATATTTAATAGAGTATCATTTTTTTTTTTTTTTTTTTAATAAAAGAAGAAAAGTTCAAAGAAATGTATTATATAATGATGGAACTTTTCAAATAAAAAATATATTTTATTCTTTCAAACTTAAATTCTATGTAATTTAATAAGTAGCAATTTTTAGTAAAAGGAGTTAGTAAAACGGAGACAGCGTATATGCAACTAATATGCGTATATAATGTCCTCGAACATAATGAAAAACTGTAAACTTTTTAATAATGTAATACAATAATTAATAACGTACAATACTTTATTGCATTTATAGAATTTTAAATAATAGTTTAAACATTTAAAATTTAGAATTTGTATTCAAAAATAGTAATATATTTTAATAGATTATAGAATTTATTTATTTCATCACTATATCTAATTCGCAAAAATACTAGCGTGGATAATTAACGATTCTAACATTTCTAACTGATAATAAATAATTTGCATGTAAATTCATTCAACCAGTACGATTTTTAAGTTTTGACCTGTTAAATAAACATAAACTCAACCGATATTATATTTTGATTAATTTTATTTGTGTTAATTTTATTTTGAAATTCGAAATTAATGACTATATCTATAAATATTAATACTACTAATCGGTCCACTAACGCCAAATAACAAGTTTTAAAATATAAATTTAGATTTAACATCATCTACGTTATTTTATATTATTATTTCGGAGAATAGTGAGTACAAAACATTTTATATAGTCCATATACTTTATGTAGAAATTATTATCAAAACATTTATACTATTCTAAAACGCTTGAGAAAATGTAATTTGATTGACTTTTTGAAACCATTAATTTCAATTATATTATGGTCAAGCAATTTGCATAATATTATTTCATGTATTTTAACAACTATTCTCAGTTATAATATAAGCATAATAAATACTATTTTATCTCCTAATATTAGCGTAACACCACGCATATCTAAATCTAATGTATAAATATTTTATTATTTTAAGAAACCAACATAAGTTTTCACTGTACATGTTAAAATAATTTAACCAATTTTTTTTTTTTGCGTAATAATTACTAATATGCGAAATGCAGTCATTCGTGATTCTTGAAATAATTATAAATAATTAAATATATTAAGTACTTATACACATATATACGATATATATAATAAACGACAATCTTAGGTCCATTTTCTAATGGACTTTTTCTTTTAAACACCATTATACAATCAAAATTATTAATATTAAAGTTATCAGTTATTTACTATCTGTTTATAAATTAGTATTTTATTTAACTATCACACATTATGAAAATATTTAATTAAAAACGTGTAATTTTTGCTATCAGAAAACAACATTCTAAATTTTTAATTTTTTTTTTTAATAATACTTTTAATTTTTATTTGTCTTATTGAAAAAATAATAACTGTCTAAAATTTGATTTAAATAAACTACAATGGTCAATGGCCATCGATATTTCATACTTTTCGATATTTTGACTGTTGAAATTTTAATCTGTCGACGTTTCACACCACACCCGTATTTTTCTGAGATATACTTAGGATATTTTAGTGTTTAGATAGAAATAGGTATAGTATGTATAGGCACCAACTAATATAATATAATTTTACTTTGATGTAGTAGCGGCACCACCGGTCAAGATATTATGTACTTAGATTTTTAAATATTAATTGAAATATGATATTTCGACGTTTGTGCTTTACTTAAACACTGTGTAACACTATACTGTTTGATACAATTAAAAGATGACCTATAAAAAAAAAAAAATTAATTAAATATTATTAAGTCAGGGTATACATATCCAAATGGGTTGTCCAGTTGCGGTTTATTTTTCAATATGAATTTTTTTTAACTGGTCCAAACGTAGTACTTTCCCTGCTCTTACTTTATATTTTTTACCGACAGCAATGATTTACGGTTACCGGTTACTCTATAAAAAAAAAAGAATAAGTTTTTATATTCTCATAAATGCGATCGTACCCATGGGACCATGTATATACACATATATACTTAGATACTGCAAACCAGTATTAATATTGTTTCATCTTTCATACCATATAAATATCGTACAGCTTCTCTCGCCAAATTACAATGTCAAAGGCACTTCTATTATAATAATAAAATGCATAAATAGCACTTTTGTCACTTTCTCGCGTCAAGAGCCGAGACATAAACTGCTTAGCTGTAGTAACTACATATTAGTTATATATTATAAGCCTTAAAGTATGATATGTTATTTCTATCTACCTAACACATAATGTATTCTGTTTAATAATAATGGTATTACTAATTTTCTAGTGTACGATGTATAATACTTGCTATTTTGAAAGTTCATTAGAACACTAAACAAGAATGGAAATTTGGCAGGCCTATCGTGAATTAAGCGAGTATTCATGGTACGAATTTCATGAAATTCTAACAAAGTAAACGTTTATGAAATAATATACACAATGTGCCTATAAATCCAATGTTATTATAACACCTATACGTGTTTATATTAATCATGGTCGATTAAAAGCCAATATCGCGAGTTATATATAGGTACTTATGAATTAGTACGTATACAATAATTGGATAGATATACAATATTATACACAACACACGTGTTATTAATCATGCATAATTATATGTATAAATATAATAATACTATACAGCACACCCTCGTAGCGTCCAAAGTTAATGGTTAGCAAATCGATTTTGAAATGAACTATTCGTTCTCTCTTTGATAATCGTCATTCTCTAACACGTTTATAATAATATATGTACGGTAAAAAGCTTGCCATATACATAGCTGATGGATATAATAAATAGCTATATTTTATGTATATATATATACATACATAAATATATAGGTTAAAGCGTTCGTGCGTTGATCTTAATCACGTGTACTTTTAATATTATTTTTTACTATGCATGGGCTAATACAATACATGCTACAAAAATATAACATTATATCCATCGAGTAGATAATTAACAAAAAAAAGTGTGATTTTTGCGATAAAATAATTAGAAACAGCGTCATGATCACATAGTATTGAATAAATTTACAACACGAAACGAAATGTACATAAATCATATCGTTATAGGTTTATGGTGTCGTCCAACTCGGTAAAATATTTTTGGTGCTTACAAAAATATGTCGACGGTTGATGACGTACCGGCGGCTATGTGTTCGTTTTTCGACCATCTGTGCGGTCCGTTCTTCGCGGCGTTTCGCATTTTGGGCGTCTGTCCGTACACGAGAAATTCAAACGGTACTACATCAAAAGTATAATATCGTAAATATAAATATTTTTTTAACCTGCTTTATAATTAGATTAAATTATTTCAAAATTATTGTCTGTAATCGGCAGTAGACCATGCTGACGAGATATCGGGACTTTTCCGGTGGACCGCAGCGTACATCGTGTGCTTACAATAAATTATTAGGCAGTCCTGCTTACGGTTATAAAGAAAAATATTGATTTTGAAGACGTTATTGACGCTGTTAAAAATAAAGGCGATTTATTATACAAAAAAATATAAAAACTATGTAGATTTTTTATCTTTTTAATTTAATATTATCTTCTATTTTTATTAAGTGGGAAATACGAATTATTTTGCTTTATTACCACTAATTTGAGGGCAATGTGGTCTTAAAACTTCAAATAAATATCCACTAATACTTTCAAAAAATCACTAAGTACATCCATGAATTCGAAGATCGGTCAAATATTTTTCCCAAGCAGAATTGTTTGTTTTTATAATCCACCACTGAAGATTTTTCATTGTCGTGGTTCGTGACACGCATTTCGTCATAACAAATTAGCCCGAATTCCCTTGTCTACACATATCGTTAATACATTACATTATAAACTATTCGTATGCATGCATGCTTTGTCTATGAACCGATATCGGATTGTTGGCGGTTCGCCGCGGTACCGACGATTTAAATCATTTTACATAATTGCATTCAACGCGTGAGTACTGCACCGTTTTAACTATAGATCTATACATATTGTATATACCATAATAAATATTGCTAACACTGCATTCTACTATTATTGCCGTGGCTAACGTTTGTATATACAGCGGCGCTGTTTCCATTATAATAATATTGTGTAGTGTGCAGCGTTTACTGTTATTATTATCATCGTCATCGTCGTTACTATTATTATTACCATCGTTGTTGTACATATTATTATTATTATTATTATTATTACACAACCATGTACTCTTCGTGCATTTACTATTTTTCTTCGAAGACTAATATTTAATAGGTAGTGGCTTTCGAAACGATGACAAGCCACGCGAAGCGTTTCTGCGAATAATGTATTTTTTTTAATACTCTAATTTAGTTTTTATATCTAACACATGTTTTCCTTGTAAAAAAACAAATCAAGAGGATGACAAATATAAAAATACAAATTAAAAAAGATAATACCACTACAAACTGCACCGTATACAATATCACTCTCACATCAGGCGTCATCGTGCACTGCCTGCTAAGCTGGCCAATATTATTAAAAAAATATGATATCGGTACTTATTATATCTTATTCATTTTTACTATACTACCGTGTGTAGTTTAAGTTAATAAATTAATGTTTTTTAAGAATTATACATAATAACGAGTACACTGCAAACTATAGGTACGTTCCCTGCCTCTCTCCGCGGAATTTTGCTTCATATGTGTGCAGGCAATTACTTATAATCCAGACATTGGATATGGATGTCCGTGTCTATTTGTTTGAAAAACACCTATTTCAGCTCTCCAAAAATAAAACGAAAACACCGATATATATTTTAAATCTGATATTGAGCCAATATTTTGTTTTAAAATTTTATATTTTTGATGTACTCACGTGCATGAAATTGTTCCTGCTATGCCAAGATATTTGCACCAAAATTTTATCAAAATTTTTCAAGAAATTAGCAAATCTCTTCAATCTTTGTATAAAAAAATTGCAAATTTAAAATTAAAATTAAAATTCGACAATTGACCAATCGCGTTCGAACCTTCAAAGAAAAAATGTATATAAATTATTTTATAGAAAAAACAATTAATAATAATAAAAAGATAATCTTTATGTGGCACAATGACGTTTGTGCTAATCACAATCGTAAGTCATAGTTCAAATCGTTAAAACGCGCTATTAAACAATTATAAAAATTGACAATTAAAATCTCAAAAAGAAAAAAGAAGTCTAAAGCCACGTCAAGACCTGAAGTATAACACATTTACCGGAAATATATGCTAACATTCGATTATGTAACCAATCACGACGGGAAATCAAAAACATTGTAGGAAATGCATGTTTCACGTGCGCATCTGAACGCGGTCTAACGCGATCTAAAAATTTCATTCTTGGTTGTTTATATTTTAAATCTCATCGCCTGCTTGCTACACATTATATAGGTATGTAGACACAGTTGACTTCCGTATCAAACTTCACTGCATATTACTGTATGGTATATAAATCTGTGCATACATAATATTTACTAGGTATACTTACTACCATGGTATATTATCGTGTATAATGCAGTCTATATAATAGGCTTTAAAGTAAAAAATATCATATTAAACTGTTACGTGAACAGACGACCTTTACTGCGACTATATAGGTCTAGTAACGAATTAAAAATGACCTGCAAACATGTATAATTTTTGGCACTGACAACTAAGAAACTGCAGAAATTACTGGCCCGCCGCCACTTAATATCTTTGCTCCCGCAGGCGTCTTCCACAAGAGGATCGTGTCCGCGTCCTCCGTGTACACGTTATTCTCGGGTGCAGCGTTCGGATACGCAACCTTTGTGGCGATCAAGACGCTGTCTGGACAACCACCTCCCATAGCCATGTCCAACTTCAATCACATACTTTTGAAGTTCGGCTACGCCACGTTGATCGCGCCGTCCGCCATCGTGCCCGTCATCATGTGGTTCGAGACGACCAAGCTCCAAGCGTATTTGCACGAGTGGCAACTGTTCCAAGTAAGCCGGCGCCATTCAGAGGCGCATATTATTATTATTATTAGTATTATTATTATTATTACTATTATTATTGATGTTGTTTTTCCGTACGCACGTTATCACGTTTTTTAATTTTCAATAAACTTATTTTTATACTATAATACATGTACCTATTGTATTCGACAACCCTGCGGGAGAGTGGACCACCTACACTCGTCAAACTAAAAATAATCTATAAATATCTCTGTCTCAAACGACTAAAAGGGATAGACAGTTTAATATATTTAATCCTATCGTCATATACTCAATAGATCCTTAGAAAATACAATTTTAACGTCATAATAGATATTATATTTTCATTATATCGTTGAAACGTCTCTCAATTTTTTCATTGGACGCGAATGAAAATGAAAGTATAGGTTATTCTTCTTAATAACGCTAATTCTTGCGCTACAATTCAAATCACTTGATTTAACGTTTTCAATTCACATTATGATATAAGCAGCAATCTTCTATAGATTTTAAATCCACCAAAATTCATTGATAAACGACTTATATATCCTTTCAATTCTTAGAAATTCTATTTTCACTGACTGAAATGAAAATGGTTTTATGATCTTCTAAATTAATCCTCTATAGAATCATTCCCGAGCTAAGGATTACAATGAGTATAGCTTTTTAATCACGCCGTTTTAATAATGTTTTTATTCTCTATCCCAAACATTCGTATATTTTATATATTTATAAAAATTAAAATAGATATATATATATATATATACAATATAAATATATATGTTATAATCTAATTTCCATTCATGTATTTTTTAATGAAAATGTGTCATTTCAGATTTAAATATTGTTGTAAATGTTCAGTAAGTTATGTATTTAAATTATTTCTACCTAATAATTTGCAAGTAATATAGATATCAAGTAGGTTCATTTTGAATACTACTAATAATATTTTAAAATTTAATATTACATACATCTATATAAATGAATTATTTATTATTATGCACCAACAAAATATGTTCGTGACAAATTAATTATCTAATTTTTTTATATTGTGTTACACTCATTACGCGCCACTAATTTTTATTACATATAATAGAAAAGGCTAATTTAAATATTTAAACAATTTTAAATGATGCTTAACTAATTAAGTAAAAATATAAACTATTCAATTAGAACTGAAAAATCATAAATTGTTATTCGAATTATAAGTAGTAACTAGTAAGTACACTGAATAGTTAATCATAATATTATTCTTATTCAACTATTTGAAAAAAAAAACAAATCTATGACGAAATTTAATGGTTCGAGAAACCTTTATGGTTTATACTTAGAACTCATATAACATAATATTCGAAAATTGTTTATTTTTTAATAGTAAAGTTTAAAGTCTACAAATAATGTATTTACTACCCTCATAGTTTTTGTCTTAGTCATACAAATATTTATAGATAAAAGGATTTTATACTTAAATATTTAAATGTTGTACGTAGAATAGATTCACGTGGTTTTACATTATTGACTTAACATTAACCTATAACCATTTAAACTTTTTAAATGTCAAGTAAACAGTAAAAAAAACGAATCTATCAATAAAACCAGTTGTAAACTTATAATGTTTTATTATTTTTTTTTTATCATAAATAATATATTATATCGGATATCTTTACCTCTATATATAATGAAGTACTTCTGCTAAATTTTCCTCTCATCAAAAACATCACATGTAAAATGATTTCTCCACTATAATATTTAATGTTTAGGTCACTTCGTTTATTTTTTACTAAGGGTTTTTTCTAAATTGACATAATAACATTATAAAAATATAATATTATAAATTATTGAACATAGCAGGATTAGCTACTGTGGCATTTGGAATTTTTAACTAAAGTCACTGCAAATGTAAGATATCATCATCAACAACTAAGTGACAAGTCTATACCACAAGACATTTTATAAATTGCGGCGTATAAATTTCTTTTCGTTTTAAAAATAACTCTCTTATGTAATATTATCACTTTAATGATGACTATATCTTTTGAATCGTACGAATATGATTTTTATGTGAATAATGTTTATTATTATCATAGGCTATATTAAAATATATACAAACAGTATACACTATATTAATATATTATAAACATTAATATTAACTATCGTTGTGGAAATTGAAAAAATAACAACATAAAATGAATATTTTAATTTTTACAAATTACAAATGAATTTAACTACATTACAAAATTAATGGAAATTAATTCTAAATGCTCGATAATAAACGCGAACAAAATATTATTTTTTTGGTTTAGTAGATTTTTTTTTAAAATTTATTCAAATGTATTCATAAAAAAAAGCATTAAGTACACACAGATAATTTACTTTACAAGCGAATATCTATTTACCTCTTTAAGCAAATTTATTATTCCTGCGCACATTATAAACATAAATAAAATTATCGATTACATTATTAGGTGTGACAAATCAAATTATGACATTATAATATAATGACAAAAATTCACTTTTGACCAAATAAAAAAAAAACGTACTGAAAAATTGTATAAATGTACAATATATTTTATGTAATAATTATATCAACACAGGATTGAATGTATTTTGCAAAATATAATACTGAAAACAGTAGCTCTATAAGTATTTTAACATAAACATTTAAAACATTAAAGTATTTACTATGTTTGATAATAAATATTAAGTACGTCAGCCGTAGGTATAAGTAATCTTTATAAACTTTTGGCTTAAAGTATGTAATATTTATATTTCAACCATACGATTTGCAATATTAGAATATTATATGTTTATATACTGTCCTGTTTGATTAACGATTATTGCTGTTATTACTTTTTAATTTTATCTTCGTTTCAGGACAATTATAACAGAGTGGTCGGTAAATCGAATAGTATTGCCATGATCGCGATCGTCAAAAAACGGGTGAATAGGATTTATCGATCGATACTTGTGTTCTTGTCGATCACAGTAGTTGCGATCTCGTGGTCGTCATCGACCATAAGCGACGTATATGTACTCTTTTGCACGATAAGAAGTGTTTCGATCATGGTTTTCATCGTGGGATTTTGGTTCGTAGGTGCAATTGCAATTGAGGCGACAATCGATGGTTACAAGAAAAAATTACAAACGGTAAAAATTACAGACAACACCTTATAAAATGTCCGATGATTTATCGATTACAGATTTTTATGAATAGAAAACACGCTTTTGAGTTTCGTGAAAAATAATATTATGGCCCCTAAATGAAAAATATATTATGTATTAGGTACTATAAAACTTTTTTAACTTTATCAATTGTAATGTTTTTTTTTTTTTAATTACTTGTGACCTATACCGTATAAAGTATACTTATACCAGCCATGCCGCCATAGTATTAACTAATTAAGTCAATATATTTTTATTATCGATTAGAAGTTAGGTATTCCTCTATAAATTTATTTTACCAGAGTACAAATTAATGTGATTTGGTGATCGTATTATAAAATGCATATATGTATTATAGTTATACAGAATGTTTCCGAAAAGAATGTGATCAATATTATAAATGTACTCACTGTGATGGTCCAATGAAGATTTATACCTTTTTTAAAATATCAGGGTTTATTCAAATTATTCTTAGAATATTATCTTAAATTTAAAAATAAACGCTCGAATTTCTTTAGTTTTTTTTTTTTTTTGTGTTAAGTTTTCATAAAAATTGAAATGTGACATCGTTTTTGAACTTTTCACGCGTTATTACGCTCGAGTCGCTGACTTAAAAAAAAAAGTGGTGTCACGCATCGACCTGTGTGAGAACTCTAAAAGATAATACAGGTGAAATTTATTTATTATCATTTATTTTAACAAACACGATTAATAATAATGTTTTACGTTTCAAACTAATACAAATAATGAAACAATAATAAAATTATAAGGTTAACAGATTTTTAAATAATCACATTTGTTGCCATGAATTTAAATATTTTAGTCTTTAGGTGTTCAATAAAATATTTACGTAATTTCATAATTTAAAGATAAAAAAATTAACTATTTGTTTATTTATACTGAAATTCGAGTTTTTTTGGTTATGACAGTAACATGGTTATTTTGACTCGAAAAGATAAACATTTTATTTTGTACTTGTTATTAGTGTAATATAATATTTTTATCGTTAATATTGAATTCACCATACTTCATATATAAACAACATGTCAACATTAGTTGTCTTTATTAAAGACTTAAACCAACACTTGCTGCTTTTGAACAACATTCTCAATTTATTTTTAAAATTAAGGTTTTTGTTTAAATTGTATATAATGAAGTACACGCATGTTGAGATGTGGTAAGGTTAAGTGCACCGAAGTTGACGCGAGTCACATACTCACATTAAATAAATAAATAACTCTTTTAAATAAGAAATGATTTTCAAACTTAAGTGTATTTGATTATGGTCATTTTAAAACGTAAAACACTGTGTTAATTAAATATGTATGACTTTGTGTATCACTACTAGATGTAAATGACAACAAACAAATTTCACCTCTGTTTGTCTTGTAAAGTCTCAAACAAATCGATGTCCTTCACCTCTTTTTTTTAGATGGCGATACGAAAAACGCGTGACTAGTTCAAAAACGATGTCATGCCTCAATTCGCATGTGAATTTTGCATAAAATTCAATGCGAGTGTTTATGTTTACACTGAAGATAATGCTCAACGAATACATTTGAATTAGTCCAGATTTTGTATATAGTAAAAAACATTTCATTGCGCCGCCACAGTGGGTTCGCTATTATATACTTATTGACCTCGTTCATTTCAGAAATATCCTGTAAATAGCTGCTATTATACATTATATTATTATAGTGGAATTTCACTTTTTTACGTGTAGGCGCGAGGGTTTGATACCTGTGTAGTTTTTTGGAGATGTTTTGTGATAAAAATAAAATAAAATGTAAATACGAATAAATAGAAAAACAAGGGGAAAAGTGGGCGGGTAGCTGGGTTTGAACCCGGAAAACCACCCACAACACCACGAATACGGGCCATTGCTGGTATATGTCATGTCGGCTTCCATAAAATATATAGTATATACACACTGTGTAGGTTATTCGCTCTATCTATTTATTTCACCCGGACCCGTCTCGTCGTCCCTACAATGACCTATAATACGGCTTCGAATGAACACAATGCAAATGGAATACGCATGAAGGAATAGACCATGTAATAATATAATATAGGTACCAACGTGGCTACGTCGTTTGCACAGACGTATATACAATAATATGACATATTATTATTTGTGTAGTGTGTTATTCGACGACGCACCATATTACGTGGTTCCGTAACAATATACAACGCTATAGCGAATATATATATATATATATATACTAAACTTTATTAAAGTGCCTGACGATTATAAATTATAACAATACAGCGTGTTTCGCTTGAAAATAATACAATGTCTAACATCCAATATTTCAACCGAAATGGCTGTAGATTAAAATGAGAATTTTTGATGGACTGCAAAGAAAACGCTAAAACACACGCATTTCAAGCCGACTCTCAAAACGTTTACCGCATCGGTTTGTACAGACGAGCTATGAAACTTATATTTTTTTTTGAACGGCAGCACGTACTAATACATTATAAATTATCAAACCCAGATAGCCCTCTTTTCGAACAACTCTTATATTTCATAAACTGATTTTCTGTCTCGAAAAATATGACTTGAGCGTACATCAATTTTAAGTTTTCTGTTGAAATGAACTAGGATCGCGGTTTTTTGTAACGCGTAGAGAAATATTTGACTTTGTTTTATGCGAAATAAAATGATTACTAAAAACAATGAAACAGGACAGAACAAACAGAAGATCCGATGATGATGAGGGCGCGTGAAACTGTATAATAATCAATGATCAATAATAAATACCTACCTATCGACTATAACGACTATGCTTATTAGTAAAACCTCGTGGCTCATGGCCCTGGAAAAAATTTTACTCGCAAAACGGCTGGTATTGAACTTTTTATTTTTTTTCAAATGTGTCCAAAACATTTCTTTAGACAATTTGAACGACTAATTAAAATAACGTTTTAGTTTTTTGTCGACGTCGTTACTATTATAATTTCTAGATAAAAATAAGAATATTTTACTCGACACGCGTAAAATGATAATTTATTTAAACGTGACCGAGAATCTGCCAGATTTCAATAGGCTATCACTGCGTTCGAGCCCATCTCGTACAAACACAGTGACAAGAAAATTGTGGAAAATACACGCGTTACAATATACCTATATCTAGTTAAATCCACTCGGAGAACGTTTTTAAAAGTACTTGTGTTCGTGTATTGACGAAATCGACGAATAGAGACCATTCGGGTACATCATAATAATACACACGATGTAAAGGTCGCCTTGTACGCAGTGGTACCCCCCCCCCTCTCCACCTCCGCCCCATTGATTTTTATTTAATCATTTTATTATTTTAATCATTTGAAATCCATATTTTGATTGACCTTTTTTTTTTGCATTCCGTGTTCTGACCCGCTACAGTTTTGTTTTATACATCCCTGGTATATACCAGGGTAAGTATAAACTTTAACCCGCATCCCCCGCCGCCCATTCAAAAATTCAATTCTGCAGGCTACGCCACTGCTTGTACGTCTGTAAGTACGCAAAAAACCGATTCAAACACGATTTCACCTGACCCCACACGCAGGCGTGTACTCCATTCATTTATCGTGATGATTGTTCGGCCATCGTACAGCTCGCACGCCGTTATATTATAATAATATATTATAATAGTACTTGGCTATCTAATCGTTTAAAATAATATGATCGTAACGTTTCAGGACTTGGACGGGCGCCACAGTTTCGGATTCGGCGCCCGCTCGATCGAAGACTACCGCCTGCTGTGGCTGCAGTTGAGCCGGCTGGTGCACGGGGTCGGCGATTACATGTCGGCCACGGTGACGTTTTGCATATTTCACACGACCGTGTTGGTCGTCTTGAGCGTGTACGCGGTGGCCGTGTGGGGCGCGACGCTCGTCAGACTGCGCCGGTACGAGGCGCTCGCGTCCGCCTCGGTGGCGCTCGTCTGCAACGCCACGTCCCTGTACGTGTACTGCGATTGCGGTTACAGCCAGACCAGAAAAGTCGGTTACCGCTTACCATGACAATAATAATTGTTAACACTACGCCTAACGGCGCGTTATTCTCGCACGGACCATATATAAATAACAATAATAACAATAACAATAATAACAATAATAATAATAATAATAATAATAATACGTGGTATGGAGAGACACCTACCTAGACGTCATGAAATTTTGTGCGCCTGTACCTCCGGCGACTGCAGAAAATCCATATAGACCTCGATCGCTCTCGAACATCATCTTGGGCGATTATCGATGTACGCGCGAGCACGATTTCTTCGCTTTTAAGGCGGTTTTCGCACGCCGTGTAAAATCGTTTATACACAAGACCCTGCCGCTGTTGGATCGCGTCGGTTAGGTTCGTTATAGATACTGCTGTGGGCGGTGGACGGTGGGCTGCTCGCATACGTTACCGGTATATGGTTGCGGAAAAACGATGTACCTATTGAATAATATTGATGTCGGAGACACATCGTCAAGAGTAAGACTGATGATCTGTTAGGTAAAATATTACGTATGTGAAAAATAATAATAATAAAACGATGTATACCCACATTTCATTTGATGTTGTTGTACTCGGTTTTTATTAAGTACAAGATATGAGTTATTATTTATTTAATAGTTATACGTATACTAATTCTAGGACGACGAGGGACAATGCGTGTTTTGTACACGAGTTCGAAATACGCGCATGCATTTATACCCTAAAAAAAAAAAAAATCACTAAATACGCCCTCAGAACGAAACGAATCATTTAAATTCCGGTAAAATAGTAACTAAGTTTTTCCTAATCGAATTTTATCCGTGCACATAGTCCATTGGTCCGCCACTAGGCACACCGCACACGTACCACGTATTCACGTTGTCATAAGTGTATAAACAAAATATTTAGACATTTTCCACCTACACACGACATTAAGCGTGTCTATACATTATACCTTGATAAATGACGTATTATATCGTGTAACAGTGTGTATATTGTATAAATACGAGCTTATGACCTTAAGTCGGTGCTGGGAAAAATGTATTGAAAAACTCGTGTCGGGACTGCAATATTATCGAATGCAGTGAACTTGGTATAACGATTATGGGTCATAGGCGGATCCAGCCAGTGATAACGGGAGGGGGAGGGAGAATATTAAAAAAAAAGGTCATCAACTAAACTAACATCTTTATTTTTTTTCTAAATAAAACACAGCTTACGGAGGGGGTAGAGGGAGCGTCCCTTTTCATCCCACCCATAGAGTAATTACTCTATGGTCCCACCGCTGAATTCGCCGCTGTTATGGGCGATATCGTAGCAGATGAAACACAGGTACAATAATACAGTAATGACATTACAATAGTTATTGTTTTGGGGTGCTCAATGTGTCAGTAATGCGACAAATCAATAAAGCAACCGCTTCCAATAGCGTATTACTACTTTATGTCCGCCTGATTAGGTACCCACCTTTGAACGATTGTTTTATCTATTTCAAGTGGACGAGAACTTGAATTTCTGATGACGTTTATTAGACTTGGTATAAGTGCCTATATATATAATAGGTGTACGCGCATTTTAGCTAGAATAATGTTATTGTTTAACGTAAGTCGTAAAGGTATGGTGTATAGGTACCTAAATCGTGTACAATATGTTTTAAATTATTTGAATTAAGATCGCTATTATTGGCAAGTCAAAGAAGGTGCAGTGCGCGATTGCGCACAATGTGGCCGCGCCCATCTTTTAGGCGCATTTCGAACGTTATGGATACCATCATAACCTATTTGAGGGAAGAATAGCAGCTGCACAATATTAAACGTGTAACCAATCTATTTTAATTTTCCACTTTTATCGGAAATGCCGATTTACGCAAAAACGTATATCACGCGCTTTTGGGCACGAAATTTTTCATCAATTTGTAAGTACGCGTGCAGTTTATGTCCGAAACAATAGTAGAGTTTTAATATCATCCAGTAGAGCACGAACTCGTAAATAAAATAAAATTACAAAACCGCTTTTCATAACTACCTACGCGATATAAATTATAGTTCAATGTAAACCCATATTATTAAAAAAAATAATAAAAGTTCAGTCTATATCTTTTTACAATACAACTATATGCCTCTACTATTAAAATTGTAGCTTACCATAGCTTATTTAAAAATCTATACGGACAATTTTTTTTTTTTTTTGATGGGAAATGTAACGTTTTACTTCAACTTGAAAACAATTTTCATGCTCAAATTTATACAACAAAAAAATGTATCCTTAAACTCAGATTTTAGATACCTAATTTATTCCCTGTCATTATTACTTATACATATATAGATATATGGATATTTATAGAGTGATGTCAATGGATATTTTCTCTATTCATGTCGTCTACATGTCATTTTTTTCTCCTAGGATTAAATCGACTTATTGTAACTACTATTTAATACGAATAATAAATAATAATAAAAAACTTGAAAACATCGACTAAATAAGTTCGGTTATTTCGTAAACATTTTTTAAAATGATGCTTTATGCTTCATAGTTAATTTTTTATAGTTTACATTGAAATAATGAATAGCAATAATTGGAAACGCATCGTTTTAACATAATTTCATCGAAGGAGATAAGTGCATTTTACACTTATCATGAAACTTTCAGATCAAAGTTTAACATCTATCACAAACATAGTAAAAATAAGGTTTATTTTAACGAAATTTGATCATTATGTTATGATCTATAATAGGTAGTTCGATATTGATATTTTTCGTCTTTTCGGAAATAATACGTTTTGCAATTTTTACTAAAGACCTTCTCATACAGGATCGGTGTTCTTGTGAATGATATACAATATAGCTAAGTGTAGAATAACATTAAATAAATAATCACTAAAATTATACAAAATAAAAACAGAAATCTAAAATAATGTTAAATGTTGACATTCATTACCTAGAAATAGCCAATAGGTACCATAACAATAAGTATATATACAACTATAGGATTTGAAAATACAGTTCTTAACAGTTATAATAATAATAATATACACTTATTATAATGATAAAAAATATACCTGTTAAAAGTAAAAAACGATAATACATTTAATTTTGATAGTACCGCGTATAATCGCAATTGATCAGTAAAACATTACATAAAATGAATAACCTGCAGGTTGACGTTCAGTCGTCATCTTGTATGACTCCTACGAAAAATAATCAATACTAAACCAACCAATAACTAGTATGGGTAAAAAGGAAAATCCAAAATACCAGACAATTATTATATGGAAGGTTCGTTAGTTAATTCGTGTCCCGTTTGTCGTATACAACAGCTGCAGTAGGAGAAACGCATAATTATGCCAAGGGTCGAACTGAGTCAACGTTTCAACCGTGGTGATTTGTTAAAATTATGTCTAATATTCGTTGTCCCAAGAAATCGTTTTGAATAAAATTTGCCTCACTGTACGGTTCGGTCGGCATAACCGGCAATAATCGCTCCATCGGTACCCGCGTCAATTTGCCATCACACTCTACTCCGGCCGTCATATACCCATGAATATCACGAATTCTAATGAGGATTAAGTGATATTTGCAGCTGCACGTACTAAAAACACTTATAATAATAATAATGATGATGATGATATATACCTAAACCTAACACATGTTTGAATACACGTCGCATTATTTTTTGTTTCATGTGCCGTCCTGCTGCTCGCAGTGCGTCGACAGCGTGATACTTCTTATATTGAAATTGAAGTCGTCGGCGAGATGGACAACATCGAATTATATTCAGGTACAGTGTGTATAAGATACATTCCTCCTCTCTGTGTCGTAGGTACCTGTCCAATACTACTGACACCCTGCAGTGAACAATTGTTCACCTACGTCATATTATGCACGCGATATCCCGATTCGACGGATATCCGACGAGAATTGCGCGCGTGGTCCGTATAAGATCCAACGTACTCGTGTCTTGTTTGTTATACACTCGTCTCCGCGTACGATAGCATGGTGTGACATGTATTCAAACAGACGACATAGCAATGGCGTTCCTCCGTGCGCGTATTCAACCTAAACGTCATCACATACCACTTACCCATGTAAAATGTCTATATTATTATTATTATTATTATTGTACACAGACAATCGTGCACGCATTGCTCATAACTGTGCCGCAAGGTCCGGTACAGTAATCTTGAGGGCGTAATACTGACATACTGCCGCAACATGTATATATATTATATGTATTAAATCATTAATACTCAAAAGTAGGTTTTGGCAGTGCAAATATTTCGTATGTCTCTATCCCCCTCCCACTACCAAAAACGTCGAGCGGTTCGAGTGCTCCATTTCGGTTTGTTTTAAAAACGTGACAGACGCACGAAAGGTATGATATCCGACGATATAAAATAACATTGGCGTTCGGATCCGTTCCCTTTATACACGAAGATTTAACGGATACTGCAGGCGTAGAACTCAAATGCTTACCTACTTACTCCGTGTAACCACATCGATATTTAGAAAAAATTAAATCGCCTCAACAAACAATCAAATATTTTGATCTTAAATAAAGTTTATAATACATGATTCGAGGTGATGTGACACTTAAACGCGTCGAGTAAAAGAATGCGTGCTCATTTGTTTTATTTAAAAAAATTTTCGGTTTAAATTTGATAAAGTTGATTCACGTATTGGGGTGCGGAGCACTTACCCTTCTATCACCAACAAGACATCACCTATGGTGTTGTCCATAGCTTACACGCACTACCCACTAATAGCTTTTCCGGATAGTAGAAAAAGAGATTGCCACATTAATGGATTGCTTCAATACAAACATAATTTTTTTTTTTACATGTAAACAGATCACGTTGTTTTTGAACGCTGTGAATCAATATCAACCGAACGTGAGTGTAATTGGTTTCTACGAAATCAATAGAGGATTACTAGGCTCGGTGAGTGGAAGTGGCATTGACCAAAGATCACCACTTCGTATGTTATAAATATTTTATTTTTCAGATATTATCTTTACTTTTGACGTACCTAATAGTTCTCATACAACTGAATTCTTCGTTTACCATACCGAGCACTGTAGAACACAATAACAACAATACTATGATGGCATAACCGGAATGTGGTGCACTTGTTTTAAATAAGAAAAATATTAATAGTTATTTATTTTAATATTTTTATTTATTTTTTTAGAATTTAAATTTCCAGTTTCTTATAATTAATGTACTTATAAAATAATCACATGTAAAATAAATATCGTGAATAAATAATTAAAATAAATTTATAATGGTGATCTTTTTTTATTAATTTACTAGGTATAACATATTTTTCATTGATGAAGGTAAGTGTTCAAAATGTTTTTAATGTGATTTGATGGATCTGATACATTCAAACCTGGAATTAAATAAATACAACTGGTTTTAAGATAACACAACAACTAATTTCAATAACAATTAAATTTGAATAACTAAACTCTTAGCTACCGCTACATAAATACAAGGCTAGATAAAATTATTATAAAATATAACACAAAAGAATATGTATTAAGATATTTTTATCTAAGAGTTTTACTATTAAGAAATTATTCAAGTTAAGAAAAAATACAAATTAAGAGTTTTGATATTTATAAAAAAAAATATTTAAACATATTTTGACAGTTTTGAGCTTAACAGTTGAAAATTCAACAGAATATCAAGCAAAAATGTTTATATTTAAATTTATCCAATTTGAACATCACTATTATAAAATACTGGTGAGATTTAGTTAAAAAGTAATAATGTAAGAAAACATAAATACTTTTAAAATAATGACAATAATAAATTAAAATTGAATTTAAGGAAAACAAGTATTGTCAATTAGAATTATTTATGTAGTTTTATCTTAAACATTAAATAACACCTCAGAAAAATAAAATTAAATGATTATATTATATATTATTTTCAAAACAATTATTAGAAATAATTTTTTTAAGCAAATTGTGACATTTTTTTTACTCAGAATCTAAAATCAGTTTTATTTAATATATATATTTATATATCTTAGTTTGCCTCACTATTTTATAATATATGTGATAAACATTGTATTTAGAAAATTTTTATCTTACGTGCAGCATCACAAAGTTCTTCAAATGAGGTACAAGGTAAGAAATCAACACTTAAAGCATTCATCATCATTTCTGATGATTTGAGCAGCATCTCATCATTATGACGAATAAAGTCAGCTAAGCTTACTGACCAACTTTTACTTTCAGTAACCTCGACGGTCTGTAAGTAACACACAAATATAAGTATCAAGAAAATTATATTAATTAAAAAAAAAAAAGTGATCGTTACCTTGAAATAGCATTCATACATCTTATTGATTAATACAAAGAAAATAAGAGCTGATTTGTAAGCAGTATAATCATGAGGAGTCAAAGGCACAGAGCGTACATTGGGTGCTATAGAAGAATTGGTATGATGAACATGAGCCATCAATATTATTCTATTCAAATGTATTAAACGATTTGTCGACATCCATTTTGAGTATGGAGTCAGCATAATGGCCATTGTAAGATAATATAATGGACCTTCAGTATCATAAAAAGTATCAATCAACTGATCTGCAGACTTTGGTTCTAGGTATGTGTTCAAATTACGTTCCTCTGCAATGGATCGCCTAGTCCTAAGAGTATATACATTCATTTTAAACACAACTTTAATAAAATATAAATTATCAAATTGAACTGATACGTACGTATTAATTACATATAATGCCATTTGCATAAGGTATGGAACTAGGTTCATATTAGACTGAGGTCCACCACCCCCAGTATCTTCATGGAAGCTCTTTGCTTGTGCAAATCTGAATAAAAGTAACTTGAGATCATGCACTGTTTGCATGTAACTTATATCTCTTTGGCCAGTAGCTTCCTGTAAATATGAGTTATGCCTGGCTAAACAATTTGCATATGCTGATTCAGCAACTGAAGGACCCCACATTGGCAATAAGCCATTACACTTGGTGTTTGCATTTTGTAAAGCTGCCGATTCCCATTCATCTCTAACCCTTGCAAGTCTATAAAATACAATTAAAAAATAGAACAATTTAATTTTCTTTATAAAAATAAATTATATTTTAATGTTATTGTTTATTGGTAAGTAGTGACTAAAGACAATAGTTTAAATCTGGTCCCCAATAATATACAATAATTTTCAATAAGTATATATTTGCAGACACATACTAGTTACGTTAGGAATCAATGTAAATAAAGAAAGCACAATCAATCATCTGATGAATCGGACTAATGCTAATAAAACAATTATGGAGTATTAAATAATATACAATATATATATAATGCATATAATTTTAAGGTTAGTTAACTGTTCAATAATTAAAATTAAATAAATTATTTATAAGATATCTTACATACACAACCACTTTGTATTGTTTGTTTTTTTTTATATATATATATATATATATTAAAATATTAAAATTTAAATAATTAATATTAAGTATTTATGTAATTTATAACCTAATATTATATTACTTTTAGTTAACATATATATTTATTTTTAATAAATATGTATAATAATTGTAACATATTTAGAATAAAATTGTAAGATTAATGTTCAACATTCAGACACAATTTGTGGATTACATAGACACATATTTTTTTTTAATTTTACAAAATAAGCAATAAAGATAAAATAGTATTTTTTAAACATTGCTTACCTAACTGCAGACATATGACAGTCAAAATGAACAACATTAAAATGTGTTACAGTACTGTACCCAATGGTTTTGCGAGGTTTCACTTCATGTTCTTCAACAACACACCTTTTGGTAAATGTATAAATACCTAATACTTTAGTTGGTTGGAATTTATATCCTTCTCGACAAATTACACACACTAATCCAGTTTCTTCTCCTAAATCTTCTACTTGTTGCAATAATGAAGTTTCAGCAGTTACTTGACCCTTTTCATTAGTACGCATTCCTAATTGTCCAAGTTGTTTTTGTCGCATTGCCATTGCTAATCGTTTTTTCTCAGCTTTAGTTTGTTCACGAACTTGTTCTATTTTTTCAGCCATTTTTGGATTAGTTTTCAATGCTTCTAATAAATTTTCTGCAAGAGAACCAACATGCTCATCTGATGACACTTGTTCTAAGCAATGTACTGTATGAATACATTCATCAGAAACAGCAGTCTAAAATTATTATAAAATGCAGATTTTATTAAAAATAAAACAATCAAAAATATATTTCAAACTAAAATTTATCCAAGAAAAGAAAAAGATTCTGAGTAATTAGGTTATATTTGCGTTTGATTAAATTTATTGTTTTTGTATTTTATGAAACTATTAGATGTAATTAAAATATGTCTTCAAGGTACCAGCTAGATAATAATTCTAATTAATAAAAGAAGAACAATACATTTTTAGACCACACATTTAGTCCAAAAAAAGTATTAACAGAAAAAGATAACAACAAAATATCATTATAAAACTAATATATAATAAACTTCTTAGCTCAGAATCTAAAATAACACAAATATTTAAAAAATACAATTTAAATATTTTAAAAACAACATAAAATTTTTAATTTTCATAATTTAATAATATACCTGAGTTGGTTCATGGCCATTAGCTAATCCAGTCCAAAACCTTAAAATATATTTTAATGAAGGTTTAGAAATAAATTCTTTCCATTCATCTTTATCATTGTTTTTGTTTAACGTTGATTTTACTCTAGGTGCATGGTGCTACAGGGCAAATTAAGTTATTTTAAGATGTTATTTAAATTTATAAACTACAAATTATACTCACCGATATATATTGAATAACATTATTAATAACCCCAAGGGAAAGTATATAATCTTTTAATGTATTTCCAAGTGAATTATTTTCAATACCGTATGTCAAATCACAAAACAAATTCATCTATATATATATTAACAAAAATAAATAATTTTAATTTATTTCTAAATTTAATGAGTCATTAATCATATTACCATTTGTTCATCTTGAGCAGAATGGACATCATCAAATTTTTCAAAATCAGAAATCACTGAAGCAAAATGATCCATGAGAACAATCATCTTAGCTTTATTATTGTATGTAAGAGCAGCTAAGACGCGAGTTAAATGCTGAACAATTGTATAGCGAGCATTTGATGCACAGTGTAAAAGATATCGAATATGGTCATCAGGGCCAAATGTCTCTGATAGTCTAGCAAATGCCTCTGGGCCTTTGGAAGTAGCTTTTGATAGTATTGTTTCCAAAATCTATTTATTGAATTAATAAATTATTTTAAATAATTTAAAAAGTATAATAGCATACATAAATCTAAATATATTTACATTTAAATTTTACTTACGTCAAGAGTTTGTTCAGTTAGTGATGTATTTGACAAGCCATCAGCTTCATTACTTAAACATAACTCAAGTGTATTAAGAAGAATTGGTATGGATCCTAGCATAGGTTCGGTTAATATTTCTTGATTATGTTTTACTTTAACACAAAGTCCAAGTAATTTAAGAAGTACTTGGAGGAGTGGACGTGACCTTGTCAGATCTTTAATTGTAGATAGACGATACATTAGAACTCCCAAACCACGACACTCTGCCATTACATTAGCCATTTTATAAACTTCTTCGTTATTGACTTCTTGATCAGATTTGGCATCCAATGTTTCAATGAATTCCTCAGTAGCATCTCCCAATAATCCTCTCATGCGATAAACAATATGCATGGCAGCTTCATTATCTCCACCTTCTGGTAACCAAATCTTTTTGTACACCTAGTTATAAACAATTTATAAATAAGTCAGTTATAATATAATAATTTCATTCTATAATCCATTATAAACACAATGTTTTACCTCTTTAAC